CGGCGAGAGCGGCCGAGATCGCGGCGCAGAAGAACGCGGCCGCCGAGGCAGCGCGCCTCGCCGCCGAGGCGGTCGCGAAGCGCGAGGCGGCGCGGCGCGAGGCGGCGCGCGGCGAGGCCGCCCGGCGCGAGGCGGCGAGGGAGGAGCGGGCGGAGGCGGCGAGGGAGGCGGCGAGGGAGGCGGCGCGGGAGGCGGCGCACCGTGGCCCGCGCCCCCCGCGGGCGCAGCAGATCGACCGCCTCGAGGCGCAGCTCCGCTCTGCCCTCGGCGCGGCAGATGCGCTCGGCCTGCTCGCCGGCGCGGGAGGGCTCGTCCTCTGCTACGTTGCGAGAAGGCTGCGCCGGAGGGGCGACGAGCTTCAGGCGCACGAGCCGCCGACGGCCACCCCCGTGATGGTGCCCCTCGCCGTCGTGCGCGGGGCAGGCAGCGAGGAGGCGGCGCAGGGCCGCGGCGAGAGGGCGCCGATGGTTGTGCGCTCGAGTGAGGGGCAGGCCCCCGCGGGGTGGGGAGGGTGGCTCGCCTCCGCCTTCCGGCGGCAGGGTGGCGCGTGAGGATCGACATCGTTTACCGCGGGGCGGCGGGCGCTTGAGTGTGATGTGTCGGTGTGTTTGGATCGTATTACTATTAGGGGCGTGTGTGGGTCTCGTCTCTCCCACGTGTGCGCTGCGTGCCACGTCTAGTGTGTGTCAGAACCGCGCGGGGGGGGGGGGGGAAGAGAGGAGGAGGAGGCGTGCGGCCTCGTCGGGTGGGGATGTGGTTGACGAGCTAGCGTACTCTGATCGCTGATATTACGACACCTGCGCCCCCAGGGGCCCTTTCCTCTCGGCCCTTTCGCCATATGGCCAACAGTGCTCGAACTTTACCGGTATGGCTAGTTCCATTTCACTCTGACACGCTAATCTTGAAAACGTCCAACGGAGCTCCGTGTTGCTCCCAGCGCCCTCCCCCGCGCTTCCTGCGGCCCTAGCCGATGATACTAGCATGGGAGGTCATCTGGCTACCGCGAGAGCGACCCAACTCGTCGACATCGTCCGATGATGGTGCCGCAAAGTCAGCCTTCGGAGGCTATCGTGGGGTCGAGCCGGCAGTAGCCGTGACATGTGGTTCCACCACCCCTCGTAGGCTTTGCCTCTGACCGCCACCGTTCCCAGGCTGCCTAATGGGATGGAAAGGAAGGCTCGGCGAGCGTATAGAAGCGTGCTCGACCTCGTCGTGGCAACCTGCACGGCAGCGCTGGCAGGCGCGATGAGCGTCGTGCCACCTGACCCGAGAGGGGTCGCAGGCGTCGTACCGAGCGTGTCGAGACCGTGTCCTGATGTGATCTGCACGGGTGAGTCACGTCGGCGTCAAAGGAGCGACGTGCGACCTGTCCGAGCTTGATCTCCGATCTCAGCGGCGTCGAGTCGTCTCCGGCGCGCAACAAATGTACCTCCCCAGGACGCGCAGAGGCTGCTGCGACCCCGCTGAGTGGACGGCGTCACACCGCGCCACCTGCTGTGTGACGCCGTCTACTCGGCGGGGTCGCAGCTGCCTCTGGAAGGCACCGAGAGGTACAATAGTGCGCAAATGTGGTCAAAATCAAGGTTTTGTAACGCGAGCTGTGCCACAGTGAAATGGAACTAGCCTATGGGAGTTTTTGGCTAATCAAACCCTAGGCCTGCACTAATCAAAAAGTGGTATGGGATACCACCTGCCTCACGGAAACCAAAGCGAGTCCGAGTGCATTTTTGTAGCTAAATCGGCGAAATCGGCAAAATACCCGGTATTTTGCGGGTATACCTGCAGAAACCCAGGTATACCCGGGTAATACCCGCACTTTTGCATGGCTTCGCCTCCTGGGACCACACCCACAGCCGCTACACTAATCAACACTCCGCATACCACTTTTCGCATACCACTATACCATATACCACTTCAAAGTTAATCAAAATATCACCAAATACCGGTCTCATACCGGTAAAGTTCGAGCACTGATGGCCAACGTCTTTCGCCTGGTTGAGGTTGTGTGTGGTTCGTGGAGGTAGCTGGTTGTGCGCATGCGTGTGCGGGGCGGCGCGCGCCGGCCGCCGCGCGCGCCGTGCGCCCGCCGGGCGCCGCTCTGAGCACGCCACGGGCAGCTCTCTCGCGACACCCAGTATAAGGACGAAGAGCGGCGAGCTACTCTATCCCCACCCTCTTAGTTCCCACCACACCAATGGAGGGGGTCGGGGAGAGCCGCGCGCGCCACGTGCGCGACGCGCAATGCTGCCACAAGCTGTCAATGCAGTCCCCTGGCGGTGGAAAAGGGGTCCGACTGGATGAGCTCATCCACGCACTTACCTCTCACCGTGGAGAGGCGCATGCTGCTGAGGAGGTCCGCCGAGGCTACGTCTCGCATCGGCGGGAGCATCGAGAGCAGGTCCGCCGTGCTCGCTTGGTTAGTCGGCTGGGCGTGGCTGCGCAAGGGCTTGTATGGCGCTCTTGCCTGCGTGCGCTCGCGATCGAGCAGACCGCACGCCAGCGTCTGCCACGCCTCGCCGGCCCGCCTCTCGAGCGCCCTGTCCGCCTCGGCGTCGCGCGCGGAGAGCCGCTCCGCCACGCCGTCGACACACCGCGGGAGGCACGGTGGCACACACCTGGCGAGAGCATTCTCGAGGAAGCTCGGCTCATCGTACTGCACATCAAAGCCCTCGGACTCGATGAAGCTCGGACGAGGCGTGACCTCGGAGCCGAGCGAGTCCGTGAATGACGGCGGGCATGGTGCCCAGCTGGAGCGGAAGCGGGACACCCGCCCAGCCATTAGTCGCTCGAGGAAGCTCGGCTCGTACGCGGACGCGGCGATGAAGCTGGGTTGAGGCGTCCGCGCGGAGCCTAGCGAGTCCGTGAACGAGGGCGGGCAAGGCGCCCAAGACGAGCGGAAGCGGGGCGTCCGCTCTTGAGCTCCTGCCCTGCAAATCGGCTGTGGCGCAGGATCCGCCGTCTCTCGACCCTCGCCAATCTCGCTGGGTTCGCCAGGCTCGCCGTGCGGCTCCCTGTGCGGCTCCAGGACGTTTTGTTCTTTGCTGGAGCAGCAATACATCGGCCGAGCGGAAGGCAGAGACGCAGGCGCCGCAGAAAAAAATGCGTCGCGATGTGCTACTGTGGGAGGCTGGCGCAGGGACTCGATGGGCCTCTTCTTCTCCTCTTGGCTAGTGGCGCTCCTCTGCGTGGCGGGGGCAGATGCCCTTGGCTCTGTCTCCGGCCTGTTCCCTGTCTCCTCCTGTGGTGACGGGGGTGTTTTTGTTTCTTTTTGAGAGCTAGCGGTAGGGACAGAGAAGACGAGGTGGTGGCGGGGCCGCGGCTGAAAAAGGCTAGGAGGGGAGGTCGGGCCCCGCGCCCGTCGGATGACCACTCATCGGAAGGCGAACAAGAGGAAGAACTCAGAGGGAGAGGTCTGCTCTACGTGTCTGTCCTCGACCCAGCCCTAGCTTGAGTTGTCCGTTTTATTTATTTATTTATTAGCTCTGCTCTATTTATTTATTATAGAGGAGAGGTTACCAAAGTGTTAGAGTTGTTTTGTATTGCCTAAAAATTTCTACCCAAGCGCCAAGGGCCAGGCCTTCTGCGACCGACTACGTGGCGGTCGGCGACATCGTGCAAGTCCCCAAGTTCTTTTCTGATTCGAGCGGCGAAGAATACATTGGCGGTGCCTTCTCGAGCCAGGAAGCACACGCCACGTCTGGCCGCATGCGCACGTGGAGGATTCCTGAGGGATGAAAAGAAGGGCAGTGCGAGTGGCGAGATCAGCTGGGAGGAGGCGGGCATCGACGCTGTGCAAGGAGCCATCGGGGGCAGCGCTTATTGAGCCGCTGTGCGGGGCCGCTTTGCTGAGAGACTATTCTGTGGCGCGTTCTGTGGGGGATTTTCGGCTCTTTCTGCTGCGCTCCTCTCCCGCACTCCCGGTACCCGGAGCCCGACTCGTCACAGGCTGGTATTGCGCTCATGCGCTGCTGTCCCTGTCTCGTACGTGCAAAACAATGGCGGCGCGATCTCTGAGGTTTTCAACTACCGCACAAACAGGAGACAAACACACGACGCAACCAGCGTGTCTATACAGACAGGACTCACGTGTCAGCTGTCACGAGACAGAGGGCTCAGGGGCCTCATGAGTATGACACGACCCAGTTCAGAAGCTGCGCCTCACAATTTTCGAGGCGTGCACCACCATGCGGCATCGCTGGCGTTCCACCGGCGCCGCCCAGTTCCTTTTCCCCCACCACCGATTGCCAGGAGCAGCCGCAGGCGTAGGCGGCCGCCTCGTCGTCAGCGACCAGCTTTGCACAGAGCTTGGCCAAGTCCTCGTCCCAGCGGCCGGGCATCCGCCCATCGGGACAGAAGTTCCGCATCCAGTAGTAGTCGACGTCCGGCGCCCAGCGCGAGTGCGGCAGCCTCAGCACGCGGTACCCACAAGAGGTGCAGGACAGCCGCGCGTTGACGGCCGAGTCGAGCGCCGAGCCGCAGAGGAGGGCGCTGCCGCCGCCCTTTGCACAGGCGACTGCCCCCGACGGCTGCACCACGCGCACTGCCGAGACCTCCGCCTCCTCAGCGGTTGCCTCGTCGGCCTCCTCCTCGTCCCAGTCGTCCCAGTCGTCCTGCACCGTGGCTCCGTCCCCAGGCCCAGCTGCCTTTGGCCGCGGGCTTGGCAGTTGATCGCCCTGGTCGGCTGCGGCGGCGGTCTCGTCGACCTTGGATGGGCTCTCTGGCGGAGGCGCGCGCTCGGGCTCGAGGTCCGGCGGCTGCCGCGGCCGCCGCGTGCTGGCCCCGCACCCCATCCACAAGGACGCCGTTACGGTTGTTGGGACGTGTCCAAACGCCCCCAACGCATCGAATCGCGCAGCGGGCCAACGCAAGAACGGTTTCCACCTCGTCGTCTTTGTTTGTTGGAATAAATAAATAAACACAACGGACCCTGCATCCGGAATTCTTTATTTGCCGCGGCACACGGGCGACGCGGCCACGAGCCAGGGACGAGCCAGGGCACGATGCGGAAGAAGGTCGACGCGCGGGTCCGCACGCTCATCGAGAACTCCGTCGCGCTGCGCCACCGCGGCCTCTTTGTCATCGTCGGCGACAGCGCACGCGAGCAGGTCGTGAACCTGCACTACATGCTTTCCAAGGCCGCCGTTCGGGCCCGCCCGTCCGTCCTCTGGTGCTACAAGAAGGAGCTCGGCTTCACCACACACCGCAAGAAGCGTATGCGCCACATAAAAAAAATGGCGGCGCGTGGCCTCATCGATCCGGATAAGGACGACCCGTTTGAGCTCTTCATCTCTTCGACGTCCATCACGTACTGCTACTACCGCGAGACGACGCGGGTGCTCGGCAACACGTTCGGCATGCTCGTGCTGCAGGACTTCGAGGCGGTGACGCCAAACGTGCTGGCCCGCACCGTCGAGACTGTCGAGGCGCGCCACGCCTTCGCGCCAGCCTCGCACCCACGACCGCCGCTCTGCAGCCAAGCAGCCGCACGCCACTCGCTGGGCATCAGCCACGGGGCGCAGCGCCTCCCTTTCGCTGCGTGCTCATCCAAGCCCGAAGCGGAAATTCCGCCACGGCCGCGCCGCCGCCCGCCATGCTGCGGCGATGCGCGTGCGGCTGCGCGTCGTCGCACACAGAATGCCTGCCAACCGCCTCTCCTCCTCCAGCCTGTCCTCCTGCCCCCTCTCCGCCTGCCCCATCCTCCTGCCCCCTCTCCGCCTGCCCCATCCTCCTGCCCCCTCTCCGCCTGCCGGCTCCCGCCTCTCCTCCTGCCCACTCACCGCCTCACCGCCGCGCCACCCCGCCTGCTCCAGGGCGGCGGCATCGTCGTGATGCTTCTCAAGTCGATGGACTCGCTGCGCCAGCTCTACACGATGACGATGGACGCGCACGCTCGCTTCCGCACAGAGGCGCAGCCGCAGCCGTGGCGGGGCCACAGGGCGTGGGGTGTCTCCACAGCTCGAGGCGTGAACCACAGGGTGTGTGAACCACAGGCGCACGCCGACGTGCAGCCGCGCTTCAACGAGCGCTTCATCCTCTCTCTCGCCTCGTGCCGCTCCTGCCTCGTGCTCGACGAGCTCAGCACCCTGCGCACCACGGGTCGACGGCCCATGACTCATGGTTCATCATTCATAGGTGCTCGACGACGAGCTCAACATCCTGCCCATCTCGTCGCACGCCGCAGCCATCACGCCCGTCTCCAAGGGCGTGCCTGCCGACGGCGACGAGGCGGAGGCGGCCGAGGGCCGCCCCGCCGCCGGCTCGGCGGGAAGCGACTCACCCGAGCTGCGCGAGCTGAAGCGGTCGCTGCGAGAGACGCAGCCGGTCGGCTCGATCGTGCAGACCGTGCGGACAGTCGACCAGGCAAAGGCGCTCCTCACCTTCGTCGAGGCGGCGGCGGACAAGTCACTCCGCTGCACGGTGGCGCTCACCGCGGCGCGAGGCCGCGGCAAGTCGGCCGCCCTCGGCCTCTCCCTCGCGGCCGCCGTCGCGTACGGCTACGCAAACATCTTCGTGACGGCGCCCTCGCCCGAGAACTTGCGCACGCTCTTCGAGTTTGTGCTCAAGGGCTTCGACGCGCTCGAGTACAAGGAGCACGCCGACTTCTCCATCGTGCGACCTGTAGCCGAGATGCAGCCGAGATGCAGCCGAGATGCGCCAAGAGACCGGGCTCGCCGAACCGTCTCTCCGTCGTGTGCCATTGCGAGCCGCCCCTCGCCCACTCCCTGTCTCTCTCCCCCACCCGGAGCCGCCTCCAGGTCGAGCGAGGTCGAGCCCGCTTCATCCGACGCCCCTCCCGCCGACGCAGGTTGAGTCGACCAACCCAGAGCTCAAGCATACCGTCGTGCGGATCAACATCTTCCGCGCGCACCGGCAGACCATCCAGTACATCCTGCCCAGCGACGCGGCGCTGCTCTCGCAGGCGGAGCTGCTCGTCATCGACGAGGCAGCCGCCATCCCGCTGCCGCAGGTGCGGGCGCTGCTCGGCCCGTACCTCGTCTACATGGCCTCCACCGTCAACGGGTACGAGGGCACCGGCCGCGCCCTCTCCCTCAAGCTCATCCAGCAGCTGCGCGCAAAGGCGCAGGCCGGCGGCGAGGCGGCCGGCGGCAGCGCCTCGGCCCTGGCCGAGGACCCGGCGCTCGGCGGCCGCACACTGCGCGAGGCGCGTGGCTCCGGGGGGGAGGGTGGGTGGGTGTGTGGGGGGGGGGGCGAGGGGTGGAGAGGGGCGGAGAGGGGCGGAGAGGGGCTGCGCGGCGCCCGGTCCCCTTTTTCCTGCAGGCATCACAGCTTGCCGGTGCCACTGCCCGCCGCAGGTCAGCCTCGAGGAGCCGATCCGGTACGCGCAGGGCGACCCCGTCGAGCGCTGGCTGCACGGGCTGCTTTGCCTCGACGCGACGACCAGTCTGCCGCCCGTGCGCTCGACGCCGCACCCGTCCGAGTGCGAGCTGTACTGGGTCGACCGCGACGCGCTCTTCTCGTACCATTCTGCGTCGGAGGCTTTCCTGCAGCGCATGCTCGCGCTCTGCGTCTCGTCGCACTACAAGAACACGCCCAACGACCTGCAGCTCCTCTCGGACGCGCCCGCCCACCAGGCCTTCGTGCTGCTCGGGCCGGTCGACGATGACAAGCGGCTGCCCGACCTCCTCGGACCCTTCCCTCTGAGCCCTCTCGAGCCCCTCCCCACACACAGGTGGACGTGGACGCCAAGCGCCTGCCCGACATCCTCGCCGTGGTGCAGATCTGCCTCGAGGGCGACATCTCGCACGAGTCGGTCCGCCGCTCGATGGCGCGCGGAGAGACGCCGTCGGGCGACCTCATCGCGTGGACCGTCTCGCAGCAGTTCCAGGAGCCAGAGTTCGCCTCGCTCTCGGGCGCGCGGGTCGTGCGGGTGGCGGTCCACCCCGACCTCGCCCGGATGGGCTACGGCTCGCGCGCCCTCGACCTGCTCACCCACTACTACCAGGGCGACGTGCGGCCCCTCAAGCCGCCCGCGGCGGCTGCGCCGCGCGCGGCCGCGGGAGGCGCAGGCGCCGACGGCGCCACCGCGGGCGGACTGCTGCACGAGACGATCGCGCCGCGCGCGAAGCTGCCGCCCCTGCTGCTCACGCTCGAGCAGCGGCCGCCCGAGCCGCTCCACTGGCTCGGCGCCTCGTTCGGCATCACGGCGCCGCTGTACGGCTTCTGGCACAAGGGCGGCTTCCGGCCCGTCTACCTGCGCCAGACCAAGAACGAGGTGACGGGCGAGCACACCGCCATCGTCCTCAAGGCGCTCGACGGCTCGCAGCGCGAGATGTCGACCCTCGCCGCCGCCGACTGGCTGCCGCTGTACGTCGGCGACTTCCGGCGCCGGCTGAGCGCGCTGCTCGGCGGCGCGCTGCGCGAGATGCCCACCGCGCTCGCCCTCTCGCTGCTCGACCCGACGCTGCAGCCCGCAGAGGCGCGCGCGCCGACGGCGGAGCAGCTCGAGTTCGTGCTCGGCGCGTACGACCTCAAGCGGCTCTCGTCGTACTCGCGCTCCCTCGTCGACCACCACCTCGTGCTCGACCTCGTGCCGCTGCTCGCGCGGCTGCGCTTCAGCGGCGCGCTCCTCACGCCGCTCTCGTCGGTGCAGGCCGCGATCCTCGTCGGCGTCGGACTGCAAGGCGACCGCCGCCCCGCCGCCTCGTGCCTCCCCGCCGCCTCGCACGGCCTCACGCTCACTCGCCCCGACCCCGTCGCACCCCCGCGCCCCGTCGCACCGTCGCACGCCCCGACCCCGAGCGCTACGAGCGACACAGGCGCCACGTTCGACTCCCTCTCCGCCGAGCTCGGCCTGCCCGTCTCGCAGCTGCTCGCGCTCTTCAACAAGCTGATGCGCAAGCTGGTGGCACCGCTGCAGGCGGAGGCGGCCAAGGCGGAGGAGGCGTCCCTTCCCGCCCCGTCGGCGGCGCGCGAGGCGTCGGCGCACCTGCAGCCGCTCGGCGGCGTGCAGCTGGGCGACGAGCTGCAGCAGGGCGCCGACGCCTCGCTCGCCAAGATGCAGGACGAGGCGGCGCGCAAGCAGCAGGAGTGGCTCGAGGACGGCGCGCTCGCGCGCTACGAGATCAAGGGCACAGAGGAGGACTGGGAGGAGGCGCTGGCCGGCAGGGGCGGCCCCGTCACGGGCGTGCTGAGCGTGCGCTCCTCCAAGGAGGGCGAGGCGAAAAAGCGCAAGCTCGGCGGCGGCGGCAAGGCCAAGGACAAGGGGAGAGGGGACAAGCCGCGCAAGAAATCGCGCTGAGCTGCCCTCTTTACTTGCTATCAGCTATGTGTCTTTCTTTGCGTGAAATCTCGATGTACCTATACACACCCCATCCCCATATGACACACTCCGAACAAAAGCGAAAAGGGCTCCAGGCCCCAAATGACGTGTGAGTGTTAGGGAGTTATTTGGTATTGCTAAAAATCTCTCGCACTCCGCGTTTCTTGTGCCGCAACGCGCCAACGGAGAGAGATTGTTTGTTTTGTTTTGCCAACGGTATTCGTTGGCTGCCGCGCGGGGCGATAACTTGGAGCACTTGGAGTGCAGACGGCAGCCGCACGCCGGCATAGGGCCGGGGAGCTAAGAAGCGCACCCAGAGGCCGGACGATTGGGGTCGGGTTACGGGCTAGAGAGCCCTAGCCCTGGGGTGTGCGCGCTCTCGCGGCGTGTACTCTGTTATTTTTAAATTGCTGTTTGCATGTAGTTGAGTGCAGTTGCGAGTCGCGCGACTGAAATCGGCTGGCACGACCGCGACGCAACTGCCAACGAGAAGTTGCGCCGACGTCCGTTCGTTTATACGTCTCACTGTACATGACGGGGGGCTATGAGCCCGGCCCCTCCCCTCAGCAGAGCAGGCAATGTGTATATTTGGGAGCGCCTGAGCCAGACACCGCCGCCGCGTACAGCAGCAGCGACACAAGCGACGGCGAGCACGGCGCTGCCGGCCGCCGCTACATCCGCCTCCCTTGCGGCTGCATCTGCATCGGCGAAGCGAGTGTGAACGGCTCCTCCGTGCGAGCGGGCGACGCGACCGGGAGGGTGGTCTGGGGCGCGAGCGAGGAGCTGGCCGACTGGTGCTGCCGCGAGAGGCGCCCGCAGCAGCTCCTCGCCTCCTTCTCGTCGGCCGTCGAGCTCGGCGCCGGGTGCGGCCTCGTCTCGATCGCGCTAGCAAAGCTGGGCCTGCACGTTGTCTCCACCGACGGGGACACGTGCGCGACGAAGCTCATCCAGCGGAATGCCTCTCGCAACGGCGTCGAGGCTACGCGGCTTCGCGCGCTGCAGTACGCCTGGGAGAGCGAGACACAGCTCGAGGAGGTGCTGCAAGCCGTCGGGCGAGGCGGCCGGTGCAGCGAGGTCCTCGTCGCCTCGGACGTCATCTACTCGTCAGACGACACGTCCTTCGCACCGCTCGAGGCGGCGCTCCGCGCTCTCATTGGCCGCGGCGGCTGCCGCCTCGTGGTCATGTGCTGGCGCGTGCGCAACGGGAACGAGGAGCGGTTTCTCTCGCGCCTCGCCGACCTCGGCCGCGCGCGCATCGCGTGGCGTAGCCACGGCCTGAGCTGCGCGGATAGCGTCCCCGCCGACGGCTCCGACGATATGACTGCGTGGCGAAAGGCGCACGCAGGGTCGTGGGCGATCGGCACGCTGGAGGTGGGGAGCGACGAGCTGGGGAGGGACGCTGACGGCGGGGTCTACGATGGTGAGTGGAAGGCGGGCGACATGGACGGGCGGCGCACGCCAGCAGGCACGTCCACCCTGCGGGCCGGAGCCGCAGAGTTTGTCCCTGGCTCGCTGCCAGAGATCCTAGAACGGGCCGGCCTTCCGCAGGGCGCGCCGCGATCAAAGAAAGAGAGGAAGGCGGCGGCGGCGGCGGCGAGGAGTGTGGCGGTGGCAGCGGTGGAGGCGGTGTTGACAGAGGAGGAGTGCGGCGGCGTCGCGTCTATCGGTCTCGTGTGATCACACACAGGCGTCTCGTGCGGTGGTGCAAAAATATTGCTTATTGGCGAGCAAATCGTCCGTTTTTCTGAGAGAGCTCTCTCTCATACGGTCATAGACTACGACACCGCCCGCCGCGCCGCCTGCTCTCTCGGCGGCGGCGGGTAGAATGGCGGCGGCAGTGGCTCGTCGGCCTGAAAGGCGCTCATCATCGTGAAGGAGGCGGCGGGTCGGTAGAGCGGCAGCAGGTGGCCCGCGCCGCGGACCGACACGAAGCGGACCTGGCCGCCGTTCCACGCCATCGAGAAGCCTCCCTGCACGCGCCTCCCTCTGGGCAGCACCTCGAATGGCCGCCACGGCTGCGTGAGCGGCAGGCCGAGGGGCGTGGAGGCGGGCGTGCCGAGCGGCCCCATCGGCGTCCACGTGCCGGTCCCGTTGCCGAAGAAGGGCACCCAGATCTGCTCGATCGGCGCCGTCTGCAGGCCGCAGTCGTCCGAGTCGCCCTCGTAGATGAGGACCCTCTTGCCCGCCCGGATCGCCTTTTCATAGGCGAAGCCGACGAAGGCCGAATCTGTCGTGTAGTTCATGCCGATCCCGTTGTCAAGGACGATGAAGTTGTTCGACAACGGGATGCCGAGCCCCGCCTTGGTGGCGTTGAGCGAAAAGTAGTCGTTCATCGCCGAGCCGAGGCACGGAGCGCCCAGGCCAGTGTCGCCGTCGCCGGGCGAGGGCGCGGCTGGCAGCGGGGCGGCGGTCAGCGGGATCAGCGAGGCGGCGGTCGCGGCGTCGATGGCGACGCGCGCGCGTGAGCGCGGCCTCGTCGCCCCCGCCGTCATCCTCCTCTTGGGCACCTCCTCGGGGCACGCCTCGAAGAGGTTGTAGGCGTAGAAGAAGCCAACCTCGCGACTCATCTCCTCCATCAGAGACAGGCAGCCGGCGCTGAGCGGCTGCGGCGCAGCCTTGCCCTTGAGCTCCGCCTCGCTGCAGCCGCCGCCGACGATGCGCGCGTACAGCTCCTCGGACATCTGCGAGTGCCTGAGGCGCGGTGCCGTGTCAGGTGTCACCACCTCGGCTGCACCTCGGATGCACCTCGGCTGCATCTCGGCTGCATCTCGCGCCCGTGGAAGAACTCGACGTCCCAGTGCGGCCCGGGCAGCGCGTTGGGGTACTTGAAGAACTCGACCTCCCGCAGGTTGACGCACCAGTCGACCGGCCTGCCCGGCTGCGGGATGCAGGCCGGGAAGCCGTCGCCCACCGCGAAGCCCTTGAAGTGGATCGGCCTGCCGGTAGGGCCGGTGATCGGGTCGTCGAGCCACTCGTTTGCAAAGAGAGGGACGTACACGCCGGCGTACGACTCGCCCACCAGCGTCACCGGCTGCTGCGAAGCCTCGAACTCGGGGAAGGCGTCGCGGAAGAAGGCGGCGTGCGCGCGGTGGTTGGCCTTCGCCGTCGACTTGTCCGTCCAAGGGCCGCAGGTGTACGGGTCTCCGCTCGGGCCGCCGTGGCTGGTGGCGCTGCCGTTGCCCATCGTGCAGTATGAGGCACCCATCGGAGCGGGAGAGTCGATCTCGCAGAGGCTCGTCACGTTGGCCCACGTCCACGCGTTGAAGAGCGGCGTCGGCACCTTGGTCGCACGGAATTCCGCCGTGCGATACGAGTCCGAGGTCAGCAGGAAGGGCCCAAACTCCTGGAAGAGCCCAAACGTGGACGGCGCGCCCGGGCCGCCGTTGTACCAGATCGAGAGCGGCTTCTCCTTCCAGTCCGGCGCCATCGCGCAGATGTAGTGGAAGAAGGCGACGCCGCGACCCGACGGCGGAGTGCCAGCGTTGAGGTAGCCAGAGTAGTACTCGTACGGCGCGGTGGAGGTCAGGCCGGGCAGCGTCGCGGCCACGCGCGCCGGAGGGTCGCGCATGTCGAACATGCCCTCCTGCGCGACGCTCATTCGAGCTCTTGGCGCGCTCGCCCTTGGGGTTATTGTTACGGGACACACATCTAATTCTTTTTCCTTCGCGGCACGCGATGGCGGCAAGCCCTCGTGCACGCCCGCCCTCGACACGCCGAAGACCAACCGGCGACGGACCGCGGTGAGACCGCGCCGCCCTCCGCGCCCGCCCGCGCCCGCAGCGTGAACACATGCGCGCGTCCCTCTCCGCACGGAAACTTGCGCGCCAGCCGCGCAGCAGCCTCACATGCAGCGCGCATTGGCATGCTCGCCCCCTGGGCCGCCGACGGCCCGGTCGAGCGGGCTGCGCGGCCGCCGCACACCATCAGGCAGGCGCACGACCACCTGCAGCACGCCGCAGCCCACCGCGCAGCCCTCCCAGCCAAGGCTGCGCCTCACAGCTACACAAACAGGGCGCACAGCAGAGCACAGCGCATAGCACACGCCGACGCGCGCGCAGCACACGCAGACTCACGCGCGAATCCAACACGCACACGCGCACAGCACGCGCGCATCGCACTCCAGCGCAGCGCTGCACACAGAGCACACTAGACCATACCAGTGGTACTGGTACCATCGCCTCTGAGAGGCACCACCCCTCGGGGAGGGGGCGCGTCCGCCCAGCGGCCAGCGCCCCTCCGCCCAGCGAGCGTACCCGCAGCGCCCGGGGAGCGAGCGTCCGCCCTGCGGCCAGCCCGCTCTCCCCGCACGGCGTCGACCGCCCCCAAAGCGAGACAGGATGCACCCGCATAGTTAGCCGCTACGGCTCTATACGGGGGCATCCTCTCCCCCATCCGCATGTGAGGAACTGCGTACTACACTGCGTCACCCTCCCCAGCATCAGTGGGTTGCCTTTTGGGGTCTGAGCCCAACGGAGAAAAAAGAAAAGTGACCAAAATCGGCCCTGGATGCGCGGTTAATGACTGCACTCCAAGTGCTCCAAGTGCTCCAAATCGAAATCAGAAACGAGATCCACGTCTCCCGCCCCTCGGCTCTCGCGCGAGCCACGATCTCCTGCCCGATGTCCGAAAACGGAAGGCACGAATAGCCGGACACAGGAACGGCACAGCTCAACGGCAGAAATCCCACACACATCCACTCACCTCTCGCACGAACAGTCGAACAGGTTCCCAGAGCCGGACGCAGGAACGGCACTGGCCAAAACACACCCACACCTGACGCACGAACAGGTACGAACAGCCGGACGAAGGAACGGCAGCCGTCACACACCCAGCCGGGGCAAGACAGAAGGCCGCCGAGGGGAAAGGGAGTTCGCAACTAAACGGCCGAAGCGGGTATCTCTCCTTGGCACGCCCGCCGACCCCGATGCACCTTATTACCCGAACCCCCTACCTGCAAGCCCACCGAGAGGGGTAGGGGTCAGCCTTGTTCAATTAAACACGAGTTCCACCGTAGCGTCGCATAACTCTAAGCGCGCGTGTGAGCGAGGGCAGAAATGCAACGCTCACGCGGTCCCGGGCTCGGTCCTCCCACATTCTCTAAATGATGAGTCTCGCTCTCCCTTATACAATAAGCTATAAGGGGCCTCTGCGAAATAAAAAGCGGAGGCCTCAGTGGGAGCGAACTCTGACGGAGAGGGAGGTTCCCCGTGTTTGTTTGCTTGGGGTTATTGTTACTCTCGTGAGGCTGTGAAAGCACGCCCACCCTAGCGGGATTGGGGGTGGGGGTTATTGTTCTTGGCAAATCAAGACACAGGGAAAAAATCACAGTGGCAGCGGCCTGGTGGGACCCCGTAGCTGTGAGCGCTGTCAGAGCGGTGTTTCGACACCGATATCGTTCACAGGTAAGTGTACATGTAAGCGGAGCTGCTGAGTAGATACAGCGAATGTGTTGCGTGACTCTGTGCGATTTCGGGCCCGGGGTTGTGCGTTTACGTGAAGAGGGGAGGTCGTGGGTCGTGTAAAGGGTAACGAACTAGAGGCAAATTCAAAAAAAATCCCGGTATTTTTTGTGCACGTCCGAGCATCGCAGCCACAAGCCGAGGTTGCTCTGCTCTAGCATCCCACGCAGTTAGAACCGGCGCTGCACTTCCTACGCGTCTGGCTCTGTGAGCCAGCTCCCATCTGATCTCGGGTCGCAAGCCGTAGCCACACGTTTCGGATACTGGCGCGCACTGGCACTAACACAGTACACACAGGTCGCTTTTGTGTCTCCCGACAGAATCCCCCTGCGTTCAGGAACATGCCGGAGATCGGCTCGACGGGTGTGGCCTTCACAAAGGTTGCACGCGAGTGGCGCTGCAAGTACGCCATGGGCGCAGACGGCGGCCCGGGCGAATCGGCGGCGCTGAAGGCCGCACAGGCGCTCCTGGAAGCGTATCTCCCTACGCTCAAGGCGCTTCCCAACGCCGAAGTGACCCGCGTGGTGTGCGGCGGCTGCGGCGACTTCAAGGTCATCGTCAACCAGCCCGCGGATGACCACGGAGCTTGGAAGGAAGACGAGTTCAAGCCCGAGGCGGAGTTCCTCGCGAAGCTTGGGGCGATCGACGGCTGCACGCGCGTTGAGGCGCAGGAGTTCACCATGGAGATGCTCTGAGCGAGCAGCACAGAAAAGCTGGCACAAATATGCTCTCCGCGGGACCGCGGCGCAGTTTGGACAGAGACCGGGAGAGAGAGAGACCAAAATCAGAAATGAGTCGATCCAAGGCAAATAGGCAATGCCGTCTACTGAGCAACGTAAGCAGTTCGCTTCGAAATCCAGAAACGATGCGCGTGTGCGCCGCCACATACGCCACACCCCACACGCCACAGCACGCGCGGCCGCGGCGCGCCGGGAGAGTGTGCCGAGACGCGAGAGGGAGCCACCGCGCTGAAAGCGGCGGGGCACAGCGCGCACAGCGGGGGGCGACCGGGGTCTATCTCAGCGCGGCACCGCCAGCGTGGAGCTCCGATTCGTCCACTCCCTTTCATCGAGCGCGGCGCCACAGCCCGCCGTACCGATAGTGTGGATTCTGCTTTGCGACCGCCTTCCAGCAGCGGCCACACACCATCCTCCACTGCTGATTGCTTGCGTCGGCCTGGCAGCGCACCAGCAGGTCGACGTCACGCGCGCACACGTCGCACGGTTTGGGGCCGCCCATTTTCACCTTGCGCACCACTCGTCGCGCATCCCGTTGCTCTTCCCGCGCCCCACCCCCCTCCGCATCCTCCTTTGCTGGCTCCGCCGACTCCGAACCAGGACCTCGCATTACCTCATCCGTTGACGGCATCGCGTTGATTCTGTGCTCAGGCGCAGCCTCGTGCCAATCAAGTTCAGTATCCTTGCCAGTGCCCACGCTGCCCGCGCCCGAGCATCGCCCTCTCGGGACAGCGGCTGTCTCCTGGTGGCTGCGAACGATCTGAGCGCAGAACCTAAAGAGCAGTCCAACCAATGCTGCCGCCGGCCACGTTATGGCGAGCCCAGAGTAGACGTATCTTGCACGCAACAGACTGCACACGCCCGTGAACGCCACAGCAGCAAGGGCTGCGGCGAGGGAGGCCAGAAGGAGAGCGGAAGCTCGCATATGAAGGGTATATGCTACGTGTGTTGCTGCTAGAGCGGCGGTCAAGTCCGATGTCACGGTCAAACCGGCGGGCGAGGGTCTTTCTTTACGGGCCTTCACAGCCCCGCGACGGCTCCAGAGAGGTGGGTAGCGATTCTTCGCGAGGAGGGATCCCAAGACGGCGGATTTTTTTCTCAGACTCACCCCTCCCGGCCCCATGGCGGTGCTGTTCAGCCTACCGCTGTCGACGCTGCGTCCGCGAACGACGCTGCGACCTCTCGCCACGCTGGCGAGGGCAGCGCCGATCGTGCCTGCGATCAAGCTGCCGCATGGACTGACGCACCAGACGCCACTCGTCGAGTCGCTCCCGCTCTCGGCCGCCACCGGCTGCCAAGTGCTGCTCAAGATGGACGCGCTGCAGCCGAGCGGCTCCTTCAAGGACCGCGGGATGGCCTACATGTGCGCAGCGCTGCAGTCGCGTGGTGTCACCGACCTCATCTCCTCCTCCGGCGGCAACGCTGGCCTCGCCGCCTCTGCCGCCGGCCGCAAGCTAGGCATGCGCGTCCGGGTGGTCGTGCCGACGACCACAAAGCCAATCATGATTGAAAAGATGCGCGCGCACGGAGCCGAGGTGGAGGTGCACGGCGCCAACTGGAACGCGGCGGACGAACTCGCTCGAGGTGCGCGCCGCGATCCGGAGCCACATCCGCACGCTCGCTCATCGCTCTCGCCTCGCTCTCGCCGCCGCCGCCGCCGCCGCCTGCCCGCCAGAGCCGACCGCCGTGGCCGCCGGCTGCCACAGAGCTCGTCGGCGCGTCGGGCGGGGCGGCTGCGTACGTGCCGCCGTACGACGACCCGCTGCTGTGGGAGGGCCACTCGTCCATCATCGACGAGATCGCAGCAGCAGGCCGGCCCTCTCCTCGCCTCTCCTCCTCCTCTACTCCTCTCCTCCTCTCCTCGCCTCCTCTCCTTCTCTCCTCTCCTCCTCTCCTCCTCCCCTCCTCCTCTCCTCCTCCCCTCCTCCCCTCCTCCCCTCCTCCCCTCCTCCCCTCCTCCCCTCCTCCCCTCCCCCGCCTCGCCCTCCGCCACCGCCCGCCCCTCCCATCCAAGGCGTGCGGCCCGACGCCATCGTCGTCAGCGTGGGCGGAGGAGGACTGCTGTGCGGCGTCCTGCGAGGGCTGCAGAGGCGGGAGGGCGGAGGGTGGGGGAGGGAGGGTGGTGCGTGTGTGGCATTTTGCCCAACTGAAGCTGCGCCCCTGGGCTGCAGGCACGGCTGGAGCGAGACGACGGTGCTCACCGCGGAGACGGACGGGGCGGCCTGCTTCGCAAAGGCGCTCGCCGCCGGGGAGCCGGTCACCCTCGCCGGCATCACTTCGGTCGCCACTTCGCTCGGCGCCGCCGCTTGAGCGCGAGGGGAGGAGACTCCGGAGGCGCGCCCCGAGACCTAGGGGCCTCTGACCTGCAGGCGCGCTGTCCGCCTCGAGCTCGGCCGTCCAGATGGCGCGAGACGACCAGCCGACGGAGGCGCGCAGGGCAGTAGGGAGAGAGGCGCAGACGGGTGGCAGCGGTGTCACGTGGTCTGGTACCGAGGCAGCCCGTGCGCACGCCCACGATCCAGCCGGCCGCACACACACCAACCCGCCCGCGCGGCAGGCGTACACCGTCTCCGACGCCGAGGCGGTCGGCGCGTGCGCTTCGCTCCTCGACGACCACCGCGTGCTCGTCGAGCCGGCTTGCGGCGCGGCACTCGCGCTCGCCTACTCGCCGCGGCAGCGCGAGGCGCTGCGGCGCTTCGAGACGGTCGTGGTCGTCGTCTGCGGGGGCGGGGGCGTCACGCACGAGATCCTCTCGCAGTGGAAGGCTGACCTGCTCTAGTGCCTACAACCCGCGGGACTCTAGACCCCCGGTGCTGCCATGCTGGCCGCAATACACCAGCAATACACAAGTGTGTCCAGGACACACTTGATCGGAGGGCAACTTATATGAAAATTCGCTGAGATAATATTCTTTTGCCACACATGCCGGTTGCCCGCCGGGGTGCGGGGAGTGTTTTGTTCTTCGAATTAGTGTTGTAAAATTCACTTGACCGTTGGCGTTGGCCGTTGCGCGGGGGGGAGCGAGGGAGCGGCGAGCAGGCCTTTGCGGACCGATCAGCAGGAGGATGCACGAAGAGATTAGGAGCAGCAGGGACCCCCCGAGCGCCGAGGCGCGAGGGACCATGTGGAAGACGCTGACGGCTGTGCTAGTCCCTAGTAAGGCAGTCGCCGCCCACACGTCCACACCCACAAAGTACCCTTGCCACAAAGATAAACACGGCGGGCCTTATTGTAAAATTCTTGGCATGGCGTTGGAAGGGACGTGTCCACAACTCGGGGAGTTCGACTGGAGCTCTATGTCGTGCGTCCAAGGTCCAAAGAACTTCATCTAGTTCTGGTCTGGACGTCGAGTGCAGCGGAGTAACAAGTCACGCGCATGCAGGCGTGCGCGCGCTTCTTTGCGTGTGTCCTGCTCGCGGCCCGCCTCACCTTTTCAGCGGGATCGGAGCACATCGAGGTGCCTGGCGGCACGGGCTCTTGCAGCGATGATGAACCGCCGGCCGCAGCCAAGATTGTGAAAATGAACGGTGCAGAGCTGGGTGTGGCAGTAGCAAAGTGGGCCACAGTAGATTTTGAGGAGACATCGGCCTTATTCATGCGTGTGGGCATGCTCGGTGCCCTTGCCAACGCCTCGCAAGAGATGGACGCGCTATTGGAGGCGGCGGACGGCCAGGCGCTGCCCGCCCTAATCCACTCGGTCACAAGGCACTCCTGTGGCGAGTTGGTGGGCGAACGGCGCTTGCCAGGTGGCATGCTCATCGAGGCTGCCCTGACTGCGCTGGGAACCGTCTCCACGCACGGGAGGAAGGAGTCGTATGCACGTCTGGCGCGTAGCACGCGCCTCGCGGAGCTAGGCGCGCTCAACGCGACGGTCCTCGCTATGGATTCTTCCGGGCTCGACCCAACCGCTTGCGCGCAGGCCTGGGGAATCCAGCAGGCAGGCACCCACATCATTGCGTCCGTCTGCGCGTCCGACAATGTTGAGGCCCTAGGGCTGCCTGGCAATGTCACTGACGCCGAGGCGATGACAAGGCTGCAGAGCGAGGCGAGCTTCAGGCGCGAGGCGGCGGCTTCGGCGGGCGCTGTCGAGACGATCATCCGCACGATAGCGGCGTTGCGCGACTGCACCGATGATTGCGGACTCCGGGATAAGAGGGCCTGGAACCTGCTAAAGGTGGCACTACGCGCGCTGCGACGCATAGTCACGGGCGACGCCGGGAAACAGCGGCGGGCGCGTGCGGCGGCGGAGCAGGTGATCCCGGCCATCGTGGGCGCCCTGGACACGGCGATATTCAGGTCGCCCGAGATGACTCCAATGGGGCTGGTGCAGCTAGCGAACGCGACCAAGGCGGCGCTCATGGGCCAGGATGACTCGGAGGGGGAGGTGGACCCGGCGATCGAGCGGGCGTGGCAAGACGAGGTCGGGCGACGGCCCGAGCTGCAGACCAAGCTGCAGGAGGTGGCGGACGAGCTGCAGACACTGACGAGCTGAGCGGGGGCGGCTGCGATGGGGAGGTGCAGCCAACTGGCGGTGGTGCAGGCAAGTGTGAATAGGGCGCATTGCGCGGCTGTTGAATAGGCGAGGCGAGTGAAAGAAAAGGAAAAAATAATTTTACAACAAAACCCCCTTGCACGGCTCTGTGCGGAAGAAAAGAACCGAAAGATAGAAACGACCCCCCCCCCCCCCCCCGCATGAGTTGACGCTTCACGATCATGCGGCTGCGCGGCCCGGACGCCCGGTCTCGCTTCATCATGCGGCTGCGCGTGCCCGCCGCGGTTTGCGCCGAGGATCGACCGCCGCCCGCCGATCGTGGAGCCAAAGGGCGGGCCGACGGCGGCGCGCCCACCGTCGCCCCTCTGCCTGTCGCTGGGCGACTCTCCGCTGATTGCTCCGGCGAGAAGGAGCCGCGGACTGCGAGCGGATCGAGCGCCGGGAACTTTGAGAGAGCGGATAGCACAGCTCCGTCGGTTACGTGTGAGCGAGTACGTGGGTGTTTTAGCGCGGAGTACGAGAGTCACATTTTAAACGTCAGCAGTTTTTTATGTATATGTGACACGCCGCGTCGCGCGTGCTCACGCAGGACGCAGCTAGTAGCTAGACACTCAATCTGACCCATCGCGAAACGCAGCCCAGGTGTCGCCGCCTGCCGTGGCGGCGTCCACGCCTTGGAGAAAGAGCTTGCGTGTCACGCCGCTCGGCGTGTACACGCAGTGAACGCCCAAAGTGCTGACGTCGCGGATGTTGGCCGTGTCGTCGTCGAAGAAGCACATGCGCGAGTAGGGTATCCCCGTCTTCTGCTGCAGCGCGGCAAAGTGCTGACGCTTGCTCCCCTTGTAGATCTCGCAGAGCTCCTCCCCGACAACGTCCATCATGCTCACGCCCTCCGCCACCATGAATTTGTTGAGGCACTCGCGCGCCCACGCCGGCTCATCCGAGCGGCTCGCCACGCCGACCAGCAGCGGCTCGCCGGCCTGCATGCGTGAATGGCACGCGGCCCAGCAGGCGGCGACGTCACCGAGCAGGCGGCAGCGCGTGCCCGAGGTGTCTGTCAGCACGTTGTTGGGCGCTGCCGTGACCTGCTTGAACGGAGCGCCTCCACCCCAGAGCTGGTACATCTCGGGCATCCAGCAGCACGCGTCGAGGTCAAAAACGATGAGTGACTTTTGCGTCGGCATGGAAGCGCGGGCGAGGGCCGACGTCACGAAAGGGTGGAGGGAGAGAATAATGCGCCAACGGCAATGATAGCTGTAGCCGGGTTCCGACTCTACCCAGATAGGGGCAGATAGGGGCAGGTGTATGTACTTTTTGCTTGGGCGGGTATCATGCCGGGGTAGGTAGGGTAGGTCTGGGCCCTCCCGTCGGGTTTTTCCCTCTCTTCACGCTGGAACTTTCAGAAAAAGAAAATTTCCGGGGAAATCACGATGTCAACCCTCCCCAAATGGGTGATCTGATGCTTGTAGGGCTTGAGAGTGGCCTGCCATGTCACAAGAAGGACTGTGGTTGCAGGAGAGTACCACCAACCATCACTCTAGTTGGTACCCCACCTTCACGCATCCCAAGAGAGGCTCTCTCGCCTCCCATGATTTCTTTTTTAGTTTCCCATAAGTAGGGTAGGTAGGTAGGTAGGTAGGTAGGGGCAGGGCAGGGGCCGGCCAGGTTTTTGCAGAATTTCAGCATGAGATACCCGCCCAAGCAAAAAGTACATACACCTTGCGCCTGCGGGCGGACCCTCACAGATCACAGATCACATACACCTGATAGGGGGTCTGTTTACCACGGTTGGTGTCCAGTCCGAGCCTGGCTGTTCGAGTCATGGTGGAACAGACCCCCTATCTGGGTAGGAGCCGGAACCCAGCACTCGGGTTGACTCGGCCAGATAAAAACCTCGAGCGAGAGGCGTGGCCGTGGGAGTACCTCGCCAGGTGCAGCGAGAGGGGCGAAAACAGACAGAAAAAAACATGTTGCATGTGCATGTGCATCTGCATGTGTTTGTTTGTTGTTGTGCATAACACACACTCTCTGTCTCTCTCTCTCTCACGCCTTGCCCTTGGAGTGCGTGTTCGAGTTTTTCGTGCGAGAGATCCCTGCGTTTCTAAGTCTTAAGCGCCAGATGGCACTGTGGCAGCTCTGTTCGGCTCCGCTCGGCTCCGCTCGGCTCCTTGGGCTCCACTACATACACTCTCGCCTCCACGCTCCAGCCCTCCACTCGCTCCACTCAGCTCAGCGCCCAGAGGGTGTGCATGACCTAGCTGAGCGCCACAAGCCCAGCTCGTCAGACCTGGCGCTTAAGACTTAGAAGTGCCTAAAAGGGATCTCCGAGTCTCCTCCCTGCTCCTACCTGACAAGGCTCAAGGGAGAGGGACAGCGGCAGGCTCGCAGCTCCTAGCGACCTTTCGGTTCATCACGGCAGTCTCTCCTGGTTTATCAGCAGCTTTTTCTTTTCCCGTGGTGTACCTGTGTTAGTGCCAGTGGAGTGCGCGCCAGTCGCAGTCCTGTGCCCAGACCCCAGTGCGCAGTGGTCCGTGAGAGGGAGGTGGCTTCGCTAAATAAATTATTTTCCTGTGCTTCTTAGATGCCAGTGCGCGCCAGTCCCGTGCCCGACAGCAACGGCGTCGTCCTCGGACCTCGCAACCCGCAACGGTGGAGTCACTTCTCGCAACCGGCACTTTGTATTGAGAAGTTCCCCGTCTCGGCCGCCTCCACTACGAGCGTACGAGGACAACATCTCCTCGCCCGAGTTCGTCCCGACCAGCGACCAGTTGCGCTGAGCCGCCGACATCTGGACGAGGGCTCGAAGGCTCTCGACAAGACGACCTCCCTCAAGCACCGAGCCAAGCTCGTCCGCTGATCTACTAGATCGGCTTCTCCCATGTGAGCCATGTTGTTCAATTGACATCCAGTCGACCGCTCCGATAGGCTACTCGAGTACTACCTTGAGCCCGGGAGACGGAAGGTCACTATGCTACGTTCACTACCTCGCGCCTCTGATCAGCGCGACGCCTGACCTTTGTTGTCTCACCTGCAGACAACGGGGGAGTGTGAGAGATAAGCATAAGGCCCGACTCAGGAGCTTTCACACGATCACACCTCTCCGATTCCCAGACAGAGAGAGGAGACTTGCTTGTCCCAGAGAGTGTGTAGTTTCACCCCATCCCCAGGGCCTCCAGGGCTCGCACCTCAACCTCTCACAGACCAGCGCAAAGCGCCATAGGACGTATTTTCTTCTCACTCAATAACAAGGCTGTGAACAGCTGAACAGTCCCATCCGTCGGGCCGAAGTCCTTCCCGGCTGTTTGCTTTGTGTGCAACCGCTCTTTTACATCGCTACATCCTCCCCGTTCACAGCCTTGTCAATGAGAACACCTCGAGAGAGGACACGTTGGCTCACACGGCAGCACTCTGCCAGGGGAGCAACAACTCTAACAAGCACGCCATCGGCCGCCGTGTGACACATGCGCTTGCTGCTTTGTGCCGGAGCGGTGGTGATGTTTTGTGCCCAGGTCGCGGCCATTCCGCGAGGCCGCCACTACCGCCTCAGACGCCGCCGCGGCCGGGCCAGGTGCGACGACTCCTGCGCCGCTGCTCTCGACGGCGTCTGCAGCGACGGCAGCAGTTTGTGGCGCAGTCCGCAGAGCCAGGAGCAGGTCCGAGTGCTCTGCGACCTCGGCACGGACTGCACAGACTGTGCGGGCGCCGGCGCCAGAGCAGGCGCGGCCGGGCTGCACCGCCTGGCCGCCGCCAGTGCCGCCTCGCTCAACGCCTCGAACACACTCCTCCTCCAAGAGAGGTCCGTCGAGGTCTTCGCGGCGTGGACCCGCACGCAGCCCGCCTTTCTGATGCCCTACACGACTGGGCGGGCCGACTTTGACGTCTCTGCCCACATGGAGCGCCACCGCGCCGTCGAGCCGCTGTACAATGTCTACTGGCGCCGGCTGACCGAGGCGTGCTGCGCCGACAACGGGCTCGTCATCGACGTGGGAGCAAACTTCGGGTACTACTCGCTGTACGCCGCCTCGCTAGGCTGCCGTGTCATCGCGTGGGAGCCGGTCCCCGTCTTCCGCGCCTTCCTCCGGATCGGCGTCGCCCTCAACAACCTCTCCCACCGAGTCGAGGTGCGCGAGTCGGTCGTGTCTGACGTCGCCGCGCAGCCCGTGGAGATGCGGGTGCCGGACCGCGGCATCTGGGGCACCGCGTCGGTGGGAGGGCTGAATGTCGACCCGGCGGTCAAGTCCAACACGTACACCGTCCACTCCACCACCGAGGCGCACCACCCCGCCGCCAGCCGACCGCAGCCTGGCCACGCCACGCCTCGCTGCGGGCCACGCCCCCTCACGCCCCCTCACGCCCCCGCCCCGCCCCGCCCCGCCAGGTGGTCGACGACGTCGTGCACGAGCAGCCGTGCGCGCTGAAGCTCGACGTTGAGGGGTACGAGCCGAAGGTGGTTGCCGGCATGAGGCGGCTGCTGCGCGAGGCGCCACCAAAGGCGAGCCGGCCTGCTGCTGTGTGTCTCCTCTCTCTCACGCCGGCTCACACGCTCACCCGCCCGGCACCGCCGCGCCCGAGGGGGTAGAGAGGCGACCGCCCAGCCGCGTCCGCAGGCGGTGCTCACCGAGTACTCCCCGGGCGTGGCGGAGCGGGCGCGCAGGCTCGTCGACTTGCGCGAGTTCGCGCACTCCCTCGAGGCCTTCGCCGCCGCCGGGCGAGGGGAGGAGCTGCCCGGCGCGGCATCTCGTCGGCCAGCCTCGGGTCATCCCGGCTCCTCGCGGTCCCTCTAGGTACAAGATGTACCACTTGCGGGGCGTGACCAAGTCGGGCGCTCTCAAAGGCAACTGGTCGCTGCTGCAGCTGCCACCGCTCGACGAGATCACGGCCGCCACCCTCGCGGCGGAGCGAAAGAATGCGGACAACGCCGCGCAAGACAGCCGCTCCGGCCACGAATACTCCGTGCCGTGGGACGTGCACCCCAGGTGGCGCCGCACCGCCGGGAGCACACTTCGCGCACCCGCCCCCGCACCCGTCCCCCGCACCCCGCACCCCGCACCCCGCACCCCGCACCCCGCCGCAGGTCGCTCCGCGCCGAGTTTGCGCACAACACGGACTTGCTGCTCGCCCTCGACCGCTCGGCCATCGCCACCGCGCGCGAGGTCGGCATCGACGCAGCCTCCGACCGCTTCGGGCTCGGCGGCGGCGACTGCCACGACACGATCCGCGACGGCAACCCCGCCGAGGTGATTGGGCGGCTGTGCATCGATCGGAATCGGACCATTGCCGAGGCCGTGGCCAAGGCGGAGCTGCCTCGCCCTCTGACGAGGCAGCAGCGGTCGCGCCACCAGCAGGTCAGCCGCCAGGCCCGCGGTTGGAGGCTGACGGGCTCGCCAGGCCAAAGGGGCCGAGAGATGGTGCGCCTCGCCGACTTTGAGGGTGGCGACATGAGACGGAGCGGGCGGAGAAGCTTGTCGCAGCTCAATCTGCTGTCCGAGCTGAAGGTGGGGCAGGTGCTAGAGGGATGAGAGAACAACGGAGGAGAACAAATTACGCCGGCGGGGTGCCGAAAATCGATGCCAAAATCTCGGTGCGTATGTGACATAATGAGTATGTGCCCGGGTCTGCCGGTGATCATGCTTTTTATAGAGTTGTATTCGTTGTGCTTTTTTTCAATATCTAGGCTCCTGAGTCGTCGTCCTCTGTGGGTGTGGCTCTGTGCGCGTGTGTGCGCCGTGCGCAGCGGCCGCGCGCCGGAGACTTTCTTTTCAGAGAGTTGTTTTGTTCTTCACAGCAAAGGAGAATAGACGGAGACCAAGACGTGTTATCAGAACTCTCACGGGACGTGCGAGTCAGGTCTAGGCGGCTCCCTCGTCATTGCCTGCCGCGGCCCGACGGCCACGACGCACCAGGGAGCCAAGAGGTGGTGCTGGTTCTCTTGGAACGCCGGGCACTCCGTGGATTCGGCGAGACGCACTCGAGACCCTCCAGGGCGTTGACGAGCGAGCCTTGCCTCTCCACCGCCACCCGGACCGCCATGCGCAGCGGCTCTGTGTTCGACCTCGCGGGTCCCTGCACCCACCCCTCGGCGAGCAAGGCGCGCGCTGTCGCACGCTTGCTCGGCTCTCTCATGAGCATCGCCTTGACGACCGCTTTGGCCTCGGAGGAGACCCCCGCCCAGCTGGCGTCGAATTTGTAGCGGCCGATGCGGTTGCGCTGGAGGACCTCCTCATCGTCGAGGCCCGGCGCAGCAAATGCCTCGCAGCCCGAGAGGAGCGCGTACAGCATCGCTCCAAGCGAGAAGACGTCCACGGAGGTGTCGTAGGGAAGGCCGGCGAGCACCTCGGGCGCCGTGTAGCCCGGTGTCCCCACGCACTCACACAGCTCATCGCCTGGCTCAGGCTGAGCCGCCAAGCCAAAGTCCGCGATGCGGATAGCCCCAACCTCGCCGTTGGCGCCGGCATCGACGAGCAGCACGTTCTCGGGCTTGAGGTCGCGGTGGACGATACCGCGGTCGTGCATGGTCGTGAGCGCCGAGAGCGCCTGCTGTAGCAGCCGGCTGACGTGCGCCTCGTTGTACTCGTCGTCGTCGAGCCGGCCGCCAGAGCTGAAGTGCGCGACGACGTGATCGTACAGCGTCCCGTAGGGCAGCAACTCCATCACCACCACCATCCGGCGAGGCTCGTCGTAAAAGTTGAAGACGGAGCAGATGTTGGGGTGGTAGTCAACCTGCCGCTGCAAATCTACCTCCTTCCTCAGCCGAGCCTTTGCGTTCCGCGAGAGCCCCACCTTGCTGATCAGCTTGGCCGCCATCCGCTCGCCCGACTGGAGGCACGTAACCGCATGGACCACCCCTTGACCTCCCTCGCCCAGCATGTCGCCGAGCTCGTACCGCTCCTCGAAATGGACTCGACTGCTCTCGAACGCATGCACCGCCGCCGACTTTCGGTGGCGGGAGAGGTGCGAGCGCCACAGGTCGCGGCTCCGACGGGCGCTGTCGGTGGCGCGCGCGCTCTCTGCGCCGCTAACAGAGGCTCGGTGCTGCGCGCTCTCGCGGGCGTTGACGAGCGCGGTGATGAGCAAGTTGCGCAGTGCGGTGGTGATCGCGGTCTGGCTCTCGCCAAAGTGGAGCAGCAGCTCGCGCTCCACGAGCGCGCCGCAGCAGATACTGCTTCCCGACCGGCCTCTACCAGTGATGCAGACGGCGAGGCCAAGTGGAGAGATGCCTGGGAAGGAGGTGGGCACGGCGCTGCCGACGCCACTGAGGTCAAAGTTCTCGGTGCCCGGCTCGGTGATGGAAGTTTCCTCCGCCTCGCGCGCCGCGTCGCGGTCTTGGAAGAAAACGAGCCGGTATGGCGTGATGACAACCCACCGCGAGCGCCACGTGCCGAGCCAGCGGCTCTTCTTGTGCACGTACCCCTCGAAGAGGACCCACTCGGAGCGCGAGGTGCGCAACGAGTTGAGGTCGTCGCTCGCCTCGCTGACTGAGTCGTTCACCGAGGCCGAGAGCCCGTCCGGCGAGTGCGAGTAGTGCGTCGAGTGCGAGCGATGCGAGTGGTGGTGGTGCGACTCGTGCTCGAGCGCAGCGAGGAAGACGTCGCTCGTGGCCGGCTGAGAAAAGTGGTGGAAGGAGATCTGCGTGGCTGATCGCAGCGCCTCGAGCGACGTCGCCGCGACGCAGTCCGTAAGCGTCACGACGTGCAGCCCCTTGTCGAAGGCGGTGCGCATAGTCGACTCAACACAGACGTTGGCGAGGAAGCCACATAGCCCAACGGTGCTGATGGAGTACTCCTGCAAGATTGCCTCGAGGTTGGTGCCCGTGAAGCAATCAAGGCCCTGTTTGTTCTGCAGCACCACATCCTACGACCCGGGGAGGGAGGGTGTACCGTGGTGCGGCAAAAGAAGGGTGTGATACGGCTGATGGCTCAAGCCTGGTCGTGCACCGGGACAGACATCTCGGCGCCCCATGAGCCGCGCAAGAAGAGGCCGCGATAGAGGCCGGTCATCATGCCAGCACGTGCGTCGGCAGAAGCGACCTTTGGGTCGACCACATTTGGACAGTGGATGATTAGCACACCTCGCTCGCGCGCGCCAGCGATAAGCTCAAGGCTTTTCTGAAGCATGCGCGTGGCCTCCAGCACGACTCGCACGGAGGCATACAGCCCGCCCCGCGGGTCCGTGAATTCATTCTGGTACTCAATCAGCAGCAGGGCAGTGGTCCGCCGCGAAATGTGAAGCTTTGGTGACATATTGTCCCTCGTTTACGCGGGAGGGGCCGGCTGCGGTGGACGTCTTCAAGACCTCCTTCGAAAAAAGATTCGTTTTCACCGATTGTTCTTCACCTTCCTACCTAACCTAACCTAACGCCAATCATCCGGCCCGCTGCGCTTCTTAGCTCCCCGGCGGCCCTGGGTGTGCGGTTACCGACTGCACTCCAAGAGCAAGTGCTCCAACACCAAGTGCGGGTCCAAGCTCCAACTCCAAGGACCAAGCCGCAAGAGCGGTCCATCGTCAAAAGGTTCGTTTGAAACTGTGAGGTGCGAAATCTCTGAGTCTGACCCTGTTGGGTGGTGGCGGCGTGCCGTAGCTCCTCCCAGCCCTAGTTTGTTGTCAGATGTCTTCAGTTCCCCTGTGTCGCCCTCCTCTTCTTCTTTCGGATCGCTCGCGCCGCCTCTGGCTTGTGCGGAAGGGCGCCGCGAGCCGAGCCCTGCCGCCCCCCTGGCCCCTCCCCCGCTTCTTCCGTGCCCTCCTCGCTGCCGGCCCCCACCTCGTTCGCGCCCGCACGGAGCGAGCCGGCCGCCTCGAGCCTCTGCAGGAGCGCGCGGTGCGCCTCGAGGAGCCGCGCCACCTCCGCCGCCGCCGGGAGGGCAGCGCCGCCGCCGTCAGCCGTGTTGCCGTCGGCGTGCAGGCCCAGAGCCCGCAGCCACGCGTGCACTATCTCGCGCTCGGCGCGCCGCCACGCCTTGTGCTGCTCGTCGCTGAGCGCCAGCCGGTCCTGCACGAGCGGCAGCAGGCGCCCTCTTTCGTGGAGCAGGAGCAGCTCCGCGAGGGCGGGCGCCGAGTGCTGCACGCCGCCCCGCAGCGACACCCCGAGCAGCGGAGGAGCGGGCTCGCCGCGTTCGCCGCCCAGCGCCGCCGCCAGCCGTTCTTGCCACCGCCGAGGCACGCCCGACGGGCCGCCCACACACAACAGCAGGTCGCTCACGCCGCACCCTCGCAGCGACGCCGCCAGCGCGCCGGCGGCTGTTGTGTGCTCGAGTGGCGGCGCCGCGGCGTCCAGAAGCAGGGCAACGACGCGACCGCCGGCGGCGCGGGCCCTCACGGCCGCCGCCCACCCCGCCACCCACGCCCACATGCACTCGGGAGAGCCGTCGGGCGCAACCTCGAGCGGCGCGTGGGAGACGCCCGACGCCGCAGGCAGCTCGCCCGAGGCGGCGCGCAGCGCTGCGCCGATCACGACCGCCTCAGTGGCGCGCTTCGTGCCACGCTCACTCAGCCACCCGCCAAACTCGGCCAGGCTGTACCGGATCACTGCACGCGGAGAGACGAGCGCAAACTGAGCGACGGAGGGCCGGAAGAGAGCGCCCTCGGAGCAGCACATGCGCAGTGCCGTCTGCATGTTGTCCAGACGGCCACGCCATGCGTCGGCCACGCCACCGCACGCAGCACACAGCGCCGGCCCGCGCCCGCGCTCGTTGAGGTGCACGCCCGGAGAGCGCAAGCCGTCGCTGCCTCGCTGGTCCTCGGCGGTCTCGAGGTAGAGGACGTGCACGAGAGTGGCTGAGGAAGGCTTGTTCGACCGAGGAGGCCTGGAGCCTCGTTGCTTCCGCTTCATGGTGCAGTGGGGGAGGGGTCCGAGGGGGGGGGTGGTGCCGTGGGGAGACAGCGGGTCGGCCGGCGGACCGGAAGGCCGGGGCCGGAGGGCCCCGGGGTGAGGCCTGGAGCCAACTGTCTGGGGAGGTGAGAGTCGAGCTGACTCGGCCTCTGCGAGTGGAATCGGGCCGTGCGAGCCCACCGCGCACCGGGCGTAGACCCGTCGCGGCGGCGGCTGGACCGCCGTGATCTACGACAAGAGGGACCGTGCCTTCCCGAGCTTAGTGAGGAGCCGGAGGAGGGGGAGGGCGAGCCGAGAACGATAGAGAGGCCGCGGATGCGGGCGACTCGCCGACCAGGGAGCCTGCAGGGAGAGCCGGCCCGACCTCCCGGGGAGGGGTGGCGACGAGACACGATGCCGCCGCCCTCGCCCGGGGAGGCCCCGCCCGGGCTGTCAGCTCCCTCGGAGCCAATGGGGCTAGCCGGCGGAGGTGGGGCGGGGGGCCGCCTCCGAAGAAGAGACATCAAAAACGAGTTCAGAGGCAGTGGGGCGACGCCCGAAAAGCGAGCAAGAGACCGAACCAGACCGAAGATTCGCCCTGATGGGTGCGGGACGAGGCCCCCGCGCCGGGGAGCCGCCGCGCAGCCGGGCAGTGTACACGTTAAGTAGTCGTGTGTGTACGTGACGGGTGGTGTCCGGTAGTGTCCGTGACCGTGTCCACTAGCTCCGAGTAGAGGGGGCGTTCTGCAGTTAAGGGGAAACCCGGTACACGGAGCCCTCTCGGAGACCCGTGTTTACTTTACGGCCCTTTCCCCGCGAACGCGCACCCCCTGGGCTAGGGCTCTCTTGCCCGCAACCCGATACCGATCATCCGGCCCGCTGGGTGCGCTTCTTATAGCTCCCCGGCCCTGGGGATGTGAGGTTAATGACTGCACTCCAAGTGTAGGCCGGTCGCTCCCCCGTCTTTAGACCCTGTTGAGTCGTTCCGGAACTTGAAGTTGACGCATCACAAAGAACCCAAATCCGACCCTGCCAACCGAGCAAGCCCATGGGGGACGCGAGGTCTTGCTCCACCTTCTCGGCGCTCGCGTCGCCCAACCTGAGAGCCTCAGCCGCCATGCCGGGGCACATCTTGACCGGAGCGACTCAACAGGTGGTGGCGCGGAGCCACGGCGAAGGACGCAAGCGCCGACGTGCCGACGGCGCCGAAGAGAAGCACAGCTTTCAGCAGCATTCAGTTGTGCCACAAAAAGAAGTTTATACTCCCAGTGTCGTGCAAAAAAGAATTCAATGAGCTTCTAAGCCGCGCGTGGACACTAGAGGAGCCGGGGCCCGGTTTCCGCAGTGCTCTGCGCGGCGCATGGTGCCTCCGGACATTCGACTTGGACATTCGTCGGTCGACTTAGGTCGCCTTTTCCTTGAATACCCCTGAATGAAGGAAAACTTCCGCGCCCCAACCTACTAACCTATCACAACGCACCTCGTGCACGGCCTACTCCACTCCCGCGCCGTCCCGCGCCGTCCTCACTTGAGCGTGCTGAGGTACGCCACCACGTCCACTCGGTCCTTCTCCTTCTTGAAGCCCGGGAAGGCCATCGAGGTGCCCTTGACCACCTCCTTTGGCTTGGCCAGGAAAGAGAGCATCGTCTCCTCAGTCCAGGTCGAGTTGAAGCTCGACATCGCCTTGGTGTACTTGTACTGCGGTTGGCGATACGGGGCGTGAGCGGACGCGCGGACGGAAGCGAGCAGGGGGCAGGGGACCGCCGGGCTGGGGCGCGGCTGGCGGCGGCACCGCTTTGTCGTGCGCCGTCTGCGCGCCGATGATGCTGTAGAGGTTGGGGCCCTGCTTGCTGGGTCCGCCCTCGTTGCAAGTGTGACACGCGGCGCACTTCGCCTTGAACAGGGTGGCTCCCCTCGCGGTGTCGGCAGGCTCTGCCGGCGCACTCGCCGCCGCCGGCGCGTCTTTTGCCGTCGTCTCTGGAGCCTTGGCCGCCTTGTCGGGCGGCTTCTCGGTCTTCTTCTTCTTCTTCGGCTTGGACGCTGCTGGCGGCGCGGCGGCCGGCTGGGACTCGCCATTCTCCTTGTCCCACTCTTGCGAGGCATGCAGCCGGGCCTCATCGTGCAGCTTAGCGAGGAGAACCTCCTGGCGCATCCTCGCCTGCCGCGCTCGGATCAGGGCCTCGGTGTCCTGGCCAATACCCGTGGCGCCCGAGGCAGCCGCAGAGACCACACCGCCCATGGCACAGACCGAGGTGTCCGCCGGCGTACCAGGTAGACCCCGGGGGACAGGAATCGCGGAAATGTCGGCAAGGCGTGGTGCATTTTTTCTTTTCCCCCTTCCCACCATCCTACATTCATACATACCACGCCGTGGTTTCTTAGCTCCGGCCGGCACTCAGGCCAGAGCCGCCGTAAGGAGTTTTATTGTTTCTCTAGGCACGGCGGCACGGACGGGACTGGCTGTGTTAGTGCCAGCCAGTGCGCGCCAGCCAGTCAGTCCCGCCCGCGCGCGTGATAGTGTCGTGCAAGGGAGTTTGGTTGTACGTTTACTCGAGGAGAGGTCAGCTGCGGTCCGATCCGAGGGCGATGGCCGATGCCAGAGTCTGCCGCCGAGTCGGCTCTCTGGATGACGGGCAACACAAAACCAACATGGACGGGAAGACGCACACACACGCCTCCATCCACTCGCACTCCACTCAGAACACCGCAGACTTGAAAAGTGACAAGTGTGCGCGCCGCAGCGCGCAGGCGAGGAAGGAGCCCCTTCGGAATGGGGGTGAGGAGGCAACCCCTCCGGCTACGACAAGATGCTTGCACGGGATCTGTGGTCCTCACGGGGATGACCCGTCTCCTCCACGCAGATCGAGACGAAGGGACGGCCGAGCAGTATTCGTTCATTAATATGTAATTAATTGATGCATTTTGAGGAAAACGGACAATTAATCAGATGGAAGCAGGAAGCTTCCATCCCGGCGGCGTGGTTCGAATCCACACAAGCCGAAGGTGATGGGTTCGCGAGTCTGGAGGTCTCGGAAGCCCACCCATTGAGGGGAAGTGAGAACTCCTCCGCCCACCCTGATCATGCTGAACAAGCTCCTCTTGTAGCTCGATCGGTCACACCGCCATCACCGCCGACGTCTCCCAGTGAGATGATGGAGAGGGGGGACGACACCGCTCGATCTACCCTCTGGGGTCCCTCAGCGGCGTGCACCTCGATCCTGTACCGTGTTTGTTATGACCCCCCCCCCAATGAGCACGCCAGCGAGGGAGGGCGAGACGATCGAGGGGTCCCGTAGAGCTCTACCATGCGGAATCGACCCTATTGAGTGCGGGTCAGGAGGCCCTAAAACGGCGGGAGGGGTAGGGGTGCCGCTGTAGGGGTGTGGAGGGGTCCTGAGCCCTGGCTGTCAGGCTGTCAGGTGCTGTCAGGTGATCTGTCGGGCTGTCGGGCACTGTCAGGCACTGTCAGGTGCCTCTGTCAGACCAGCTGTCAGGTGCTGTCTCAGTGCTGTCGGGTGCTGTCGGGTGCTTGTCTGACATCAGAGGTGATCTGTAGCTGTCGGGTGCTGTCGGAGCTGTCGGGTGTTGCTGTCAGACGCTGTCGGAGCTGTCAGAGCTGTCAGGCTGCTGCTGCTGTCAGATCAGTGTCAGACGTAGGGCCGGTGCTGTCAGGTGCTGTCAGGTGGTGCTGTCGGGGTGCTGTCAGGCTCTGACACACACCTGCCACACTTATGACACTATCACGTATCAAGAGGAGACCAGCAAGGACTCTACTGCACATACTCTGTCTCTATGTACTCTGCCTCCGGTCCCACCATCTTCATGGTGGACGTCGCCATATCTTCTTGTCTGCCGCACTGAGAGAATAGAAGTAGCAGAGAGGCACGAGGATGGAGTGCTTCTTCAGGTACACCTTGCTGATGATCTGGTAGTTGCTGGTCCAGCGGAAGGCCCCTCCCCATCGTTGTGTCGCTCGTCAGCTTGTAGTACTTGCACGCTCTGTTCTGGTAGCGGCAAGTGCTCCAAGATGAAGTGCTCCGCGCGCGAAAAAAGAAAATTCATACGTCTGCGCTTCTTACCTCCCCGGCCCTGGGTGTGCGGTTGCTGACTGCACTCCAAGTTGCTCCAAGTGCAAGTGCCAAGTGCCTTTACGGCCATCAGCGGGCAGCGCAATACAGTCGCCGAGGTCCGTGGTTGATACGGAATAACAAGGGGGGGGAAAGCACCGCGGCGGTGCGGGCAACCGGCCAACCGCTAGTCCCCTGCTGCCCCGGCAGCATCCACCTCCATCGCGTCCACACGAGCACAGACCTTCCGCCGCTTCAGCTGGAACTGCACGATAGCTCCTGGCGCGCGCTTCAGCGCTGCCGCCTCCTTCCCGCCTCCTCCCCCCGCCAGCGCCAGCAGGAGCGGGCCGGCTGCCTCCTCAGGCTCTCGCGCGGCCGCGGGCCGTACCGGCTCCGGCAGTGCAGGCAGCCCGATCGCGAGCCTCCAACGCCGGATCTCGTCGGCCCGCTCCTCGGGCGATGGCGACGGCGGCGGCTCCACCGGCGGCGGCTCCGCCTCCTCCACCTCCTCCGCCACCCCACTCGCCGGCGCCTCCGCTGCCTCCGCCGCCGCCGGCGCCTCTGCTGCCGCCCTCTCCTCGAGCCACTCCTTGAGCTCCGCCTCCTCTGCGCTCGCGACGCTGCGAAGGGCAGGCGCCCTCGCCGGAGAGGGCTGTGCGTGCGCGCCATCCGCCCCCGCCGCCCCCTCACTGCACGCCGCCGCGCCGCACGCCGCCGCATCCGCCTGGCCTGCCGGAGCCTGGCCGTCCGGCGCGCTGCCTGCCGTCTCTGGTTCGCCGCCTGCGCCGGTGGGCTGCGCTGCCGCCACGTCCGCTGGCTTGGCCCTCGCCGCACCTGCCGCCGCCGCCGCACCTGCCACGGCCGCCGCCGCCGCCGCCTCCGCCGCCGCCGCCGCCTCCGCCGCCGCCGCCTCCGCCGCCGCCGCCGCCTCCGCCTCCGCCGCCTCCGCCTCCG